GTTACGATTTATTTCTTAATGTTTGTTATGATGCTATAAACAACTTTGTGCCTTGGCGTAAAGTTGCCCGTGGTCATACCCTCATGTATCCGCAAAGGATACTTAGGCTTGAAGAGAAGGTTTCTAGGCTTTATCATGCAAGGAATAGAATTGGCCCTCAGAAGCATTTGAGATTTTCAAAAAAACTCAAGCGAGAGTTGTACCGTTGTAGACTAGCAGAAGAGGATAGAATCGCTCGTAGCCGCAACATCAAAGCATTCTATCGCTTCTGCAATCAAAACCTGAAGATGTCTAACGGTATTGGTACCATATATGACTCTTCTGGGCACGCTTGCAAGAGTGATAAGGACAAAGCAGAAAGGTTTGCCGAATTTTTCAAAAGCGTTTATAAAGAACCTACAACCTCTAAAGCAAAATGCCCATCTTTTACAAACCAGACTCGATTATCTTGACATCACCACGGATACAGTCTATCATATTTTGAGGCGCCTCCCACTTAGGAGATCCACGTCCCCTGACCAACTACCATACATTTTCCTTCGTAAAGCATCTCTCGGTATAGCTCCAGTCTTGGCGTTACTATTCCAAAGACTCCTTCTTTGGGGAGAGACTCCTTTACTCTGGCGCACCGCAATTGTGAAGCCAATATTTAAAAAAGGCTGCAAAGCTGACGTCATAAATTATAGACCGATTTGTTTGACATCTTCGGTCAGCAAAGTCTTTGAAAGAATAATCAACAAACAAAATTGTTCGTATCTTGAAAGGAACCAGCTAATCTATAATGCGCAGCACGGCTTTCTTCTCAAAAGATCTACACTGTCAGCTCTCATGTTCACAGTGCCTATGTGGCAAAAAGCTATTGATGATAAAAGTTTCGTTACAGTTTGCTACCTAGATTACAAAAAAGCATTTGACTCTTGCCTTTGGACCTACTTTTTACGAAACTAAGAGCGTATGGCATTCAGGGATGCCTGCTCAAATTTTTGAAATCCTTTCTGCTCAACAGTACGCAAAAGGTGCAAGTCAATGAATCCTTCTCTTCTACGTACCAAACAACGAGCGGTGTGCCGCAGGGAACTTGCCTAGGTCCTGTGATGTTTCGCTATATATCAATGATCTACCGACATGCCTTCCCCAGAATATACTCTGCTCAATTTATGTTGACGATACCAAGCTTTTTTGCTATAATTCCCCTAGTCTGATGCAGAACGCCTTAAATACCGTAGAGGGGTGGTCCAAAAGATGGGAGCTCGACATTTCCATTGAAAAAACCTTCATTTAGTCGGGGCTATGCACCCCCAATGGCAATTTAGTATTGGAGAACAACAACTTCGAGTATTGAATAATGCTAGAGACCTTGGTGTGTATACCCATACTCTTGCCAGTTGGAGTTCGAGAAGTACATAAGAGATGTAATTGATGCTGCTCACACCAGATGCAATTACATACTACGCGCATAATCACATCTAGAATCTTTGCCCGGGCTGGAATGTTTCGACTGCCATACAAAACTAGGCTCTCCATACTCACCGCGAACCAGGATCTAGTCTTCAAAATTATGACTGTAAAAGTTGAGCTGAGAATACAAGATTTTTTCAGACTGTCAACTTTTAACAATCTCACTAGAGGACACAACTTCAGGGTTGTAGTAGGAAAAGTTAGAACTAAGCAGTTCTTCAACTCCTTCTTAGTGCGCGTAGTCAAAACCTGGAATGATCTCCCTGTGGAAGCTGTTACTGCGAGAAACACCTTCATTTTCAACAGAGAAGTTCAAAAATATTTGAAATCGCAAGGGTTCATTCTGACTTTTAATTGCAGAAGTCGAAGAAGTCGGTGCCCCTTTGTCCTCTCAACAGCAGCACTCTAGCCGGTTTTTGGTTCTATCCAGAAGAGGAAATTGCACTATATGCTGTCCCTTCTACTCTATTCCTTAGGGAAAACATTTAAAAAAAAGAAAAACATCAAAAAAAAAACTACTGCAATAAGCCATAAGCCATATTGTTTCTTTTCTACCTCACTTCCCTTTCTCGGATGAACTATCCACCTCTTAAAAGTTTCATTTTGTTCTGTTTTTGCATGTCTTGTTGTCCTTTGGAAATACTTTTTGATGGGGTTATAACCAGCTAGCCTCCGCCCGTAGGCTCGCTGGCCTTTAAAAAATGGGAACATAATTTCTGAGAGGCAGCAAGATTCCTCAGTCGACCGTGAATGTACTTTCTTTTCCTCAAAAGATATGATTTGTTATCGACTTTATCAAATAAATATAAAATATCAAATATATGATTTTACGACAGTGAGATGTAGTGGCTCACCGGAAGAGTTTGTAGGATCAATTCGAAATTTTGGTTTCCACATTTTTATACTTCATGTACTGAGAAACATAAGAAATAGAAGTGTGCACTACCTATTTAGGACCAACATAGCTGGATATGTATGATATCGGAGGTCACGACACTTCTATGTGAAGAAAGAAAAGTTATTCCTGACCGAATTACTGATGAAGTGGTAATAACATTCCGCTAATCATTCAAATTCTGCATTTCATTTTGCCGAGGACAGTTTTATCGATTTCGTTTCTCAAACAATATGCTAATATTGCACTCTATAGCTTGTGCAGTACGTAGCTGCTTCTAGAGACGGATGCTGCTATGCTCAAGTTTCCAGATTGCGTCAAGGAGAGAGAACGACTGATGACGGCAAGATCTTGTAAATTTCCGTAGGGGCAACCCCGTAGGCATCTCCTCCGTAGTTGATTGTCCTCACCAGGGTCTTGCACGAGCGTGGTGAATGCCAAGCTGGAATTCGTTTGTAAAAGCAAAAAAAAAATATCGTAAATACACTTTTAGGAGTATATTATGCTACCTTAACAGGTTGCTACACGGCTGATAAAAAGAACACGATCTTGCTCGCGCTATTCTCAAATCTGAATATCTTCTCACAACAAATAAAGTAGTAAATAAATGGTAGGTAAATGCCTCGTTTACAATCACATATAATGCTACGACTCCCAAATTTATGTACAAATGGACAAAGGCTAGAGCTCCGTGTGAGTATTGTGGAAAATTATGTGACGTTTTCGTCAGAAATTTTTCATCGTGAAAGCTTCCATCACATTTTTACTGAGAATTTTTCATAGGAACTGGCGCAAGTACGACCGCATATAAATCGAAAGTGGCATAGACGGGTTCGTCTTACAGGTCTAGGTCAGGTCATAGGTCAGTTCGTCTTCCTCACTTGCCACCATCCGCTGGACTGTGGTCCTGACATGGTAAACAACAGAATGTCCAAGGGATCATAATTTACGGAAATGGCGCCTACTGGCGGTTTCGTTCTTCTACCAGTACCGTCACTCCGTAGGCTTTACAAAAATGAAGGGCATGATGTTCCAGCCAACTCTGCAATCGGACTCGTTCTATATGAGAAGAGGGTTTTGTGCATGATAGGCTGCAAAGAGAGGTGCCGCTTAGACGGCACATTCTCGCTCGAATCGGACTCGTTCTATATGAGAAGAGGGTTATTGTGCACACTTAGCCTTTAAGTGCGAGTCCGATTCGAGCGAGAATGTGCCGTCTAAGCGGCACCTCTCTTTGCAGCCTATCATTCTGTTGCCAGACCGTGAAGGTCATGCATAAGCATGACCTGCTCTGATATATGCATCTTTATTGCCCAGACATTGTCGAGTGACCGTGCCAAGCCTTTTTATATCAGCATTCTACCACTGTTCCAATGCGGACAAGTCGTCTGACTCAATAAATCTGCCAGGCTAGTGTATTGCTCACACCTGTAGATATTCCTACCAAGGCGACAACTACGCCTAAGGCTACGTCACTGCACATCAGCCTGATAGAGAATTTCGCGCCCTCCCCCCCCCCCCTCGCTTAGGCTCTGCACCTCTTTTCCGAGTGTACTCACAGGCCAAGCTCTAATTGCTAATCAAGTTTGGAAAAACGATTTCAGAGCATTCGCCAAAGAAGTGCGGAGCTCAGACAAGGCTTTGAGCGGTATTAGAGCCGCTCAAAGCCTTGTCTGAGTACAAAGATACCCCTTGCACCAAATGAGGCAAGGGGTATCTTTGTACCTTTTCCAGTTGTACTTGCAGGTTGTTTCAACGAGCATCTTTCGCAGAAGCCCACGAGATGTAGCTGCTCTACCGCACCGCAGACGAAGTGGTACTCGAATGCGAGGACGAAGCTGTGATTGAGAAGACCGCAATCGATTCTTCCTCCACTTTTCTTTCGTACCCTTTCTGGTGCGCATTTGTGGACTTTCATTCCTGCCTCAACTTTGATTTTCGTCTCGGACAGTATCTCGCAATCAGGTAAAAGCGGGACTGCCATTACATGTTGCAGTTTTACAATATGCTAAGAGGATCGCAATAGGTCAAGACTTATCTTAAACCACCATTCGAAAGTCATAAAGCTCCTAACTGTAAAATAAAAATTGGAATAGCGTCACTCAAGCGTTTCACTCTTGAAAATTGTAAGGTACCTATCAAATACGCACAGCGATCAAATATCACCAAGGATTTAACAGACATCCATGAGAGACGTTTGTACATATGATAAAGAAAACTTTGGGAAGAACCAAAATTTGATATTAAGTACCTAACTCAATAGCATACATTCAGCGCTAAGGTATCACTTCCTCTCGGCAGCCGACGAGCTGCGGCGCGGGAACGCAGCCTCACCTCGTGGGCTACCAAGCCGGTTGATACAGCCTATACGTAAGGCTGAGTTCACATTCTCGATTGCCAGCAATGGCCCCTAAAGGAGGCTCGAAGAATTTTGCCGCCGCACGCGATGACGTCTACCTTAGAGTTTCGCCGCAAGCGACGCGCCAAATGTCTCGCGACATTTCGTGTTGGTGTGCAGCAAGCGGGTAACTATAAACGAAGCCTACGTCCCTTTACTTATTGCTTTTTCACCATGATAAAGGCTAGGCAATTGCGCGTGATGCAATAAAGCAAACGCAGAGGAATCGCTCTCCATGGACAACATCACATGAAAGATTTCCCATCCCACAAAAGGACAGTAGCATCATACGGTCGTCTTAATGTTGACTCATGCCATCCATGCAATGCTGTACAAATAGTTATTCACTGTGAATGTTACGAAACTTGTGAGTGATGGATCCGTATGTTTTGAACTTTGCGAACATTCATGTTTCGATAAATGTCATATAAATACGCGAGTTCAAACAAAAGAGAACCATTTGCCATAGCGATCAAGTCCATGTGGTTATGTCCCTCCATCTTTGTTCGAAAAAACATGTTTTTCTTTTCATAGCACAAGTTCTACTGTTTTCCTCAAATTTCGCCCACTTTATTTCTCGCAATATTTCACATGCGATGTTCAATTATTTGACATAAGTGCTTGTAAAATATTCCTAGCGATGCACAGGCAACCATTTGCATTCGTTTCGATAACATTTCGTATCGATGCGATTTGTCCTTCTTCCGAGCTGTCGCCACTTTTCTTTAAATTCTAGACTCACTTTACCATTTACAGTTTTTTCTCCTTTTTTTTATTTTGCTATACTTCAGATTATTCTAAGAGGACCGTTTCAATGAGAAGAGCACATATTCCAATTCTGATTATTGCATTCATTTGCACCTTCGTTATATCAGGTCAGCGAACATTTTCTATGCGACGAACGTGTAAGCCTCAAAAGCCACACACTTTCTTATTTCGAGTTTATACGTTGGCGAGCATTAGCAGTTCAATTTTTTCGGGGAGAGGGGGGGGGGGGAGGGTGACAGAAATGTTCCCGGGGTTGCCCATTTTTCGTTAAAAAAGTTTGAGGTAGTCTAGAAAAAATTGGAATACCCTAACTTCGAGAATTCGAAAAAGGGAGCGTCGATAGCCATGCTCTTGAAGAAGTTTTCGTTTACAAAGACATTCTGATTATCTATAAGATTCAACTCATTTTGATTGTTTACGAGTAAAAAATAGTTTCTTGCTCAATTTTGTCACTTTATCTGCTTAGACGATCACGGAAACTTCCCGAGGGTTCGCTAATTTGTCGAATTTCCGAGGACTCGAGTCAGTACTGAGATCGATGGGAGCAAAAAGTGGGAACTTTGCGAGAACTTTGACATCAAAAGCAAATCAGTTAGGGATTTACCAAATTCCCTTGGGATGTGTCCCAAAATGCAAAGCTTTCCGAGAACTTCAAATTGCCTAGGGCTTTGCGGTATTTCGTAATAATTCTACGTCTACTGCGATGTCATAAGTGCTATATCATAATACCGAAGTGTATCGATCACAGAGTTTTGATCTTACTTGAGAGGAAATGATCAGAACTCAACTTAGCCATTCCAAACAAATGTATATCATCGGACTCCTTTTGAGATTTTGAATATATGTTTCTTATCTGCCAAGCGACTATCTGGAAGAAGTTATGAGCGTTCAAATATGGGAAATTTATCGAGCTTCGACGAATGTATTAGACTGAACCGAAAGTTCTGTCGCACCATCTTAAAAAATCGTAACTTCTTCCTCTCATTATAGTTTCCATTACCAAAATACCACCAAAAAAGTAACTCATGTACTTTCTAAAGACATTTTGCCTGCTTTCTTCTAAGCTTAGATCGCGGAGATAGAAATGGGAAAATATTATTTTAGGTTCGGAATTTTGAGGCAAGCTCGTTAGAAGCAAAACTGTGCCATATAGACTACTTGAACCCCTCTTTCTAGCTGAGCAAGATTCGCGCTGATCGAGTTCTTTTCAGATAAGTCACTATTTTCGATAAAAAATGCCAAAAAATCGGTTTCTTAAAAAAATTGGTTTTTTGCCATCTCTTCTCAAAAGCATAACTTTTCAGAGAACAGCTCTGCAACGCGAGTTTTGCTCAGCTAGAAAGAGGGCTTCAAATAGTCTAGGAAACTGGTGTTTCTGATTTTATAACACAGTTTTGAAATTTTTAACGGGCTTGCCTCACAATTCTGAATTTGAAGTGAGTTTTTCCAATTTTATCTCTGCATTCAAAGCTTAGTATATAGCAGACAAGGTATCCGTAGAAAGTGCATGAAATGCTCTTTTCAAGAAAGTTTTACTCATGCCAAAACGTCGTGACAAGAACAAGTTACAATTTTTTGAAAATAGGGCGACAGAACTTCCGGTTTAACCTAATATTTTTTGAAAGGCAGCCTGATGGCTCGTATTTACAGTGGCCATGGATTATTTCAATGACAAGAAAAGGATACATTCACTAAAAACCTTATAAGTGTTTTTGAAACCTAATTCGTAGAATGCACCACAAAATACTTGACAAATCGCACATTTATACGCCCATAACTCCTCCCAGATAGTCGCTTGGCAGATGATAAACATATTCATCAGCTTTCAAAGACGAGTCCGATGACAGCATGTTCGGTATGGCTGGGTTAAGTTCTAACCATTCCCTGTCTACCAATGCCCACTTCAATACCTAATTTTATCATCTCCTTGTTTTATGCTGTAAATCGCTCTAGCACTAGGTTTGTCGGCGAAACTGTTTTCCCATGTCCTTCTTTACTCTGGCTTAAATGTGGTTCCTTTTTGCAGGGAAAGCTGCTGTCCTGTGCAAAATCCTCTTAAATCTCAATTGCCAAGGGCTTCAAATCTGAGCTGGCACCAGGGAGATTTGAAACGACGTCCTCTCTGATCTTGAAAATTTTGTACGAAGTCCGCAGACCGAGAAAATTTCAGATGACTATAAAACGCCTAAGGCCTAAGGCATACCTCAGGCGATTTGGCACTGCAACGACTCTCCATAGCTGGTCGTAAACGCACTTTGCTTGGGCCAGACTTCTTGAGTTTGTTACAATTTACGAATTCTACGCACCCATGCATCTGAGAGCCTCGCATGCTTAATCTCTAGACATCTGGCAAATCGCCAAGTGCGTGGATGTGGCGATTTCGCAAAGTCGAGAGAGGTATGCCTTAGGCCTACCAGAAAACTATGAAATCGTCTTTTCCTCGTATGTGAACCTTCACAGTATAGATACAACTTATGTACACAAAGTATGAAAACTTAGGTGAGCAAGGGGTCGGTGCCAGCTCCATGGCACCCAGCTGGCACGGTGGCTAATTCAGAAAAAAAAATTCAGCAGAGCTTTCATTCTTATAAGTACCATAGTTCGGATCCCCCAACGCGCATGCACACACCAAATTTGGTGTATATGATTGTGTTTCGTTCGTAGCAAGGCTTTTGTTTGTTTGAGGCAGATTTCAAATTTTTGGGCTGCGTCAGCTCCGGCATATTGGCGGCATACCGACGGCATGCTAATAGAGGTATAAAGAGTAGGCACGCGGCCGGCATGCTGGCGGCTTGCCGGCCGCATGCCGGTGGCGCATTCTAGCAGACCAGCATCTAACCCGCGAAAACGACATCCTCTTTGCTTTGCGCCCCAAAATGTTACCCAGCTTGACTCGGTGCCAGCTGTGCTAAGCCCGCTGAGAGCCTTAAAAATAGCTACACTCTCTTTGATTGTTAATATCTCTTTCTCCACAGTCTTTTGCATAGCGTCAGGTACCATTCTGTAAATTTGGCTTCAACTTATGTAGATACTAGTTGACTTACCCGGCTCCGTCCGGCCCTGTCATTATTATATTCGTAATCAGCATACTCGATTACCCCCTGTGCCAACTCCCAGCCCCGTAGCTCAAATTTTGCAAAAAATCGATGAAATCGATAACAATCGATGACGAAAAGTAGCCTATGACACCCGCCGGGGCCCGAAGTGTATGTGTGCCAAGTTTGGTCCGGATCGGATCAGAAATGGAATTTTCTATTCGGAACACACTTACACACATACATACATAGACAGACAGACATACAGACATTCAGCTTTATATATAAGATAGTATAGAGGAATCACGGATGCGCCTCATTTCTGTATAATTACGATAGAAACTTCCAGCGCACTGCTCATTGCTAAATAGGTTGTTTGAAAAATAGTTCCAAAATAAACTGAAGATTTGTATAGAAGTATTTTCGTGTGTGCTGGTTTATTAGACACCTTTTTACGCGTTTCTAAGGGTTTCACATAATATAATCACATTTATGAAAAAACACTGTAAAAACTGTTTTGCGCTCCAGTTAGGGTAACTTGCGAGAAAGGTGAAGAACAAATTCATAGCAACTCAGTTTAGCATAGTGATAAAGCCCTCAGCTTTTTAAGTATCCATTTGTTGACCAAATGTAGCCATTGATAGTTCAAAAAACTTTAAGGTTCCTATCGTTATTTTGCAGTAATGGAGAGCGGTACGTGATTTACACCATATTGTAAATCTAAGCAGATAATGATACTTGATGACCCCGGCCATTCATAATGGTTTACATATCAAAAAATGCACCTTTTAATGGTTCGACTGTTTTCCATATCTGCGAAACGAGAACCTGGATGGAGTTATATTCATTATTTCAGAAATGAATTGCGCTACTGCAGAGGGTGAAAATCATTAATAAGAGTTTTGCTTTCCTCTTAAGCTAAATATGATTTAGATAGGTATAAATACAACATTACACCTTCCAAGATTCTCCTCATTAGCTTCAAACGGTAAAATACATCGAATTGGGTGATTTCAACTATCCAAAAATAAGCAAATTTTCTACGAAAAAAGTTTATAACTACCTTCATATGATCGTTTCGCAGATTTTGAGCACAGATTTAGAATCAGCGTTTCGAGGTGCATCTTATGGTATGCATCACATTCCAAATGGCTGGGGCCACTAACTATCCATTCCTTGTAAGACGAAGCGTGCTCTACTGTCTAATACTTGAAGGTAAGTTTGGTTTAAAATGAAACGATCATGGAACAGTCATAGTAGCATGTTGCTTACTTGCTTGTTTCATGATTTTGTATGACCGATTGAACTAAGTGGCCGTAAGAAAATGATCATGTTTATCGCGATGTAATCATGATTAAACCATCACATCATGCGATGGTTTCGATCAAATTACTACCACTCTTGGTTTTCAAAGTTCTTCAGAACCAGCGCCCGGGCAAGTTTCCAACTTATGTTTTTGTCATTCTCGAGCCTTCTCATGAAGCCGATTCCAAATTTTGAGTTCAAATTGCTCAACAACAAATCCTGTTTTGGGAAAACTATTTAACTAGATATGGTGGGCGAGTATTTCAACCTTAATGCATTGCGGTGCAACGTGAAAACATGCGTCATAGATAAATGCGGGCTTGGGGGGGGGGGGAGATGACGCATTGTGGTGGTAGAAGTATAAATGCGAGAAGGTGTTATAAACAAGACAGAGATCTAAACGGATAACTATCGGACGTTGTTGACGTCAAATGGGGGACCTGCGCTTTATTATGGAGTAATGATGAGGGATAGTTTAACTAGTGTAGCAACCGAAATAGGGATGCGGCTTTGGATAAGAAAAGCTGTAATTTATGTTATGCCACTAATACAAAGGTCCATTTGAAGGTCTAGCTCATTTCCTGGAAACTCTCTCCGAGAACTTATTTACAGAACTTCCTGAGGCTTTGCGGGAACTTTCCAAGTGTCTCCTCACGTTTGAATGGACCTCTGTGTTGGCGTATAAAACCGATATTAGGCCGGTGCACCAACACAAGGGTCCACCTGAAGATCTAGCCGATGTCCTGAAAAACTTCTCGAGAACTCATTTGCAGTACTTTCCGGGGTTGACGAGAAATTTCCTAGGTGACAGTGGGAAGGCTTCAAGGCCCCGTTTTCATAGATAGTGAAATAATTGCTTACATAATTGAGGGGAGTAGCAAGTGCAATCCTTCGGTCCCTACTATCAAAAGGGATTTTCTCATAGTATCCATTCACCACAGTATTTTTTCGTTTCGCCATTCTAATTCAGTCCCTGTCCTACGCAGCGATATCATAAAGTCCTGGAAAATTTGAGTAAACTATACAGAAGTACTCTATTTGTAGAAGAAGTTAATATGTATGCAGCTTAATGTCCCATCAGGGTTGGTCCAAGGTAGTGTAAACAGTGACATGGATTCGCCTCAATGTGTCGTACGGTAATGCATGATAGATACTATCATTCGCGCTCAGTGTAGCATGTTTAGTGTACTACATTAACGGTAGTCTTTCTTTGTACTTGAACTGAGTTTGCAGTAATCATGTTGCGAAAGATGTTCAAATATAAACCAGAGAACGTACATCCGCAATGTTTTATTAAAACTATTGCGTCATACCTCGAAGGCCTTTGCATCATTTCAATCCAATAGTTGTCGAGATATTGGTGGTAAACTAATCTAGCATTTCTACCATTAGCTATATGCAGGTTTATGCGAAATCGACCGGAATTTCATCGAAGTTCATCGTTCGCGGTAATATCATAACTTCATACGGTATCACTCTTGTCCAGAGAGGTCCAAAAAGTAGGATTACTGCTTCATCTTATAGAATTCTCATAAGATTCCTACCGAAAACAGGAATTATCTGAGCAATGGGTGGCGAGCCTCACATGTGGTGCGGTAACTTGATTTAACTCGTAGTGTATTTATCCCTCTATTTCCTTGTGGAATTCAAGGTTAGCTTGCTCCCGTTATAAGCTGTGCCTAAAGAAAGCCTAGAGTTGAGAGACAAATACCTCACCTAGGCACCGCCTCCACAAACTACCCTAATTTCACGCGTATAAGGCGCAGGGGATTTTTTTCCAAAATCGACCAGCCCAGACAAGCCAAAGGACTTTACAACCAAAGGGCCCTATAACGTGCTGTACATTGCTTGAAAGAATCGCGCGATGTAAGGATTTCTTTCGGAATACAGTGAAGCGGCTGAGCGGCTTGCTTGAAAATTCGAAAAAGTGCGCCTTATACGCGTGAAATTAGGGTACTAGTTCCTCACACGATGTGCGATAGTGAACGAAAGGAACTTTAGTGTTTCTCAGAAACTACCATAATTTGCTCTGGAGGATTCTTTCTGAATGGCACTTATTTGAACTCTATCTGTTTCGATCGCGCAAAACACTTCATTTTATAAATGAGGTTTCGATCTTGATTAGACATAGCCACATCCTTGTGCTGCTGACGACCCAGAAGCTACACTTTGATGTTCTCAAAGTATTCGATCAGGATGTGCTAACACTTGGGTGCATACACACTTACTATTACTATGTACAACCTAGGAAAGCTTTCAAAATACTAATCTTAATTTTACAGATAAAACTGAGCATCTTCTGAACGCCGTGAACGAGACTGTAAGTTGTTAGTTTTTTTTTGATAATTAATCCAGCGATTGTGAACTGCGTCGTTTGCACTAACGCCCTAGTATAGATTACCAGCTCTTCTGAATGCAAACGTTGTTTGGGGATAGAAGTGAACCAATAGAGGAGTTCTTGATATGCTCCAGTCAACCAAGTTTGCATAATGCATGATCTTCCTCCCCCCTCCTTATAAGGTTCTTTGTCCTTTGGCGTAAAGTGGGCAGACTAATTCAGAATGTTCACTAATTTCTTAGTTACTTTTTTAACAGTGAGGTGACGACATCAGGTGTATGATTACGAGCGGTGAATACGTGCTCATGATTTCAGTTTGTTGTGATAACATTTACAGTATTCGGCTCTAAATTCAAGTGTTTTAGAGCAAGCTTGGATGCAAAGCTTGTGGTTCCAAACTCTTATGCATTCAATTATCTCAAGTTCGTATTTATCTTTGCATTGTGAGTCGTTCAGTGCGCTATCGAAAAAAAAGAAAAAGTTTGAAAGGGCAGCTAGATTAACTATTTGCAAATTCGTCAGGCTGATACTTCAATACTGCATCAAAAAATAAAAATTTAAGTATGTTTCACCTTTACCTCACCAAACCCTCGCTTCACAGCAGCCCAAATCAAGGCCATCGATATGATTTGCCAGAATTTCATACCTAGCACCCCAGTCATATCTTGCTCCCTTCTAATATGATTCCTCTTCGGAGCTAAACCAGCTAGCCTCCGCCCGTGGACGCAAATTAGGTTATCAGTAACTTTGAGATAGCAAGATCTGGAGCTTAGTTTTTGACTGGCAACGTCTTCTGCAGGTTGTTATTCTTTACAAGCTGATACCTCAATATTCACGTTGATACTTTCGTTTCGGAGTTTCTTTCCTTCCTTTCCTCCATGAGTGTAATATGAGATGAAAACAGAATAAATTGTTTAGTAAAACTATACAATCTATATAGTAGCCAGTGCGTCGCCTCTGCTTCGCAGAGGTTCGCACTGGTCCTACTGTCTGTATGCGTTACTCATTCCCGTAATAATGACACTGATACTTACCGCGCTATGCAGACTATCACGATGGATATGTAAACAACTACTCATTCCTAAGATTTTTTCATATAAGATCGGTAATTTCGCTTAGATGAAACTTTTCCCAAAAGAACAAATGCAGATTTGAATAGGTTTTTGGACTTTTCATGGCTTGGTTTTCGCCATAAGATACAATAATCACTGTGGGCTACATCTCAGTGCAAAAATCCTCTCAAATGATCGGGTGAAATCTTGGCAAACTGAACATTTACGCAACAAATATTTTTGGCGCCGTTTTCGCAAAGTAATAAACTTTAGTTCAATTTTTTAGGCTAAAGTCCATGGCTTGCAGATTAACTTGTCAAACATATCCGTAACCTTGCAAAAGGTCTTGCTAAAGGCTCAATTTTAGTGACCAAAAGCCAAGTGGATCCGTCTGACGTGTGATTTTCAAAGGACCCACTGAACGGATTCGCTCAAGCTTTGGTATATTGGGCTCTTGTGTTGGTAGCATGCGCTGTGCAAATTTTGCGCTTAAGATGTTGGCTGGCAACCGTCCCACGAATTTCGTGACAGACAGATTTACAGACAGACACACACACAAAAAAACATTCGGCCTTAGCGCGTTATTATAGTAGGATTGTGAATGCATTAGATCGAAGACGTATTTTAGAGCAGAATCAAAAAATTGTAAAAGCATTGAAAATTATGACTCGTAAGAAATTCGATCACGAAAACACATCTTAATTAAAAAGAGTAGGTCATGAAACTAAATCAAAAAATCTACGATACAAGTGGATTTGATATTATTACAACTGAGCTTTGAAAACGTAGGTTTTGTGAGTGTTCTTCCTATCAGCTTGTGTCGTAGTATACCAACAAAATGCAACAAGCACGATTAGATATTGCACGACAATTTTGCTCTAAAACACGTCTAGAGAGCGAATTTGTTGAAATCTAATTTCCCAATAAAATTTGTGCTGACTCAAAAGAGGTCATCAAATTACTCAAACTCACATTTTCTCCTCACAACCCCTCATAGTATTGCTTTCGTCATTTTACAAACCACTATTGTCTGAGTCCCAGTTATAATCAAGCAGCTGGACTTGGAAAGTGTTGTAGTAAATTCAACGATGTGTACTTATTGTTAGGGATGAATTTGAAGTAATACTGCTTTGATTCCGGCCCCATTTTCTCCCGGGGGAGGGACGGCAAAAAAATTTGTGAGTGCAGGCGGCGCTAGCCAAACACTCCGAAATTTTTTGGGATACTCCTCAAAATGTTTGGGCCTAACCTAGATATTTTAGGAAAAGGTACGAGGCTAATTTGATTTCAAATTAAATCCAAGACTCTTTTGTGCTTACAGTATAAACAGTAAGTATAAACAAGTTACTTGCACATTTGTTAATTCTGTAAGTACCACCTTATCACCTTATCCCCGTTGTTCATCGTGTTGCAAGAGCAGATACAGCGATTTCTCCATTCGTCCCTGTCGCGGACAATGTTGAACCAATGAGCCAATGTTTGTTAATGGAATAGACCTGCCAGATTTGGTAATGATAATGTTTCCAGCATGTAGCGAATGAAACGAAATCGTCCGTCAACGTCACGACGACGACTGTGAAACCCAAGACCAAAGGAGCAAGCTTCACCACCTTGGCTGTTGCGATGATACCTTTGACTGCGGCCTTACTGCTTTGAAATTTTTCTCCATTTCTAAATGTTGTGTAGTCAGCTATCATATACACATTATAATCTTCTGGCTTTCCGCGGTTCCATTGAGTAAAGGTTCTTTGTTGGCCATGTTAGGTTATGTCGTAAATATTGAGTTTTTTTTTGAGAAGCGACAAAGTATTTATCAGGCAAAGAAGCATGCGTCAATTCTGTTTTTCAAAAAAAAACTTTTACGAAACCAATCGATTTACCATGTAGATTTCTCCAAAAATGCATAAATTTTCTCGTAAAACTCCTTGTTCGCTTTGAATTGTAAATATGCTGTAACAAGCCAAGCAAACTTACGCTGCCTTGCATCTCTAACAAGGAAACGACACTTGGTGTCCGTGGCCTTTTGAGATGAGATGCATACCATTACACTCGTTTTGGAGCACTGATTCCGATTCTGACTTCCGTTTTTGCTAATCGTTTCTCGGAAAAAAGTTATGAAGGATTTTCGCGCCAAAGGAGATGTGGTCGAAATGCCAAAACCGCCGCTAGGATGTGGTGTAGTGGCTAGTGCGATAGCCTCGCACGTTAATACAGGTTTAGGTTCGAGTCCTTTCGTGTTTTTAAGTTCTGCATTACCTCAATCAAGCTTCTTTTTAACAATTAGGCTTCCTCGACCGTATTTCTCTTAGGCGACCATTGACGCAAAAATCCCTCATAACTTTCTTTAGAGAAACGATTAGCAGAAAGGGAAGTTAGATTCGGAATCAACGTCCCGAGGCGAATGTGATGGTATCCGTTTAATCTCGAAAGGCCACGGACACCAAGTATCGTTTCCTTGTAAGCCGATAGTAATCTAAAAATACGGCATTCTATCGATATTCGACAGGGCCGGCACGAGTGTGGCAACTGTTAGGCTAGAGATCATTTATGTGAAAGCAAACGGGCTATTTTAACCACACATCTTATGCATTACACCCCCTAGACATGTTCAGCCCCGTGAAAATCACATTCAAGACGGGCGCGTTCAAACATGATCGTGTTTAGGGATCGTAAAACCACGCCGGTACCCCTTAAACCCGCCCAAATACGTCCGCATGTGCCCCAACCCGCCTGAGCGCCGGAAATGCCAAAGCGCAGCAGATATGCGTGCAGATTGGCATTTTAGAGCACGCATGAAATACTGCGCTTGGTGCAAAGAAAGACAAAGAGTGTTCGGGTACATGAATTTGCAAGAAGGCAAAATACCAAGACAGACGCAAAGTCGATTGATCCTTGTAATATCCGAGTAGTTGCTAATGAAGATCGGTATGTTACATGCGGCTACCTGTGATTAAGATATACGCACCATGCGCGCAGTATTTCAAGCGTGCTCCAATATGCCAATTTGACGCATATTGGCTGTGCTTTGACAGTTCCAGCTCAGGAGGGTTCGAGCGCATTCGGGCGTATCTGGGCGGGTTTGGGTGGATTTGGACGTATTCGGGCAGGTTACAACGGGTACCGGTGCGGTCTGAACGATCCCTAATACGCCAATTTGAAAACTATGTAAGCTTTTTAGCACAAGGCAGTAAAAAAATAACTCATTATGGCGCACAGAATCTTCTCCCAACAACAGGCACATTCTTGTAAAGTCCAGAAGGCCGTCACGGACTCCGCTCTAACAATGGAAAAATATTTGGTGACCATGGCCATTCGTAATAAGGCACCATATCACCAGGGTTGAGCAAAAGGTGTGGCACAGAACCTGATTCTCTGACAATTCTCTGACATAATAATCACAATATTTGTGACCAGTGCGTCACCTCTGCTTCGCAGAGGCTCGCACTGGCTCTACTATCTATGTGCCTTAAGGGTCGGGCATACTTCACGCGATTTCAGTCGCGACGCGATCTGGCAATTCGCCAGAAGTCTTCCGATCCAACACTAACAAACTGCTCATGCATAGTGTTTATAACTTACATGGAGTGATAAAATGCCCTATCTTCTTTACATTTAAAATGTGCCTACAGTGAGCTATGGACAATTGGAATGCTGCCAAGTCGCGTCGCGACTGAAATCGCGTGAAGTATGCCCGGCCCTTTACTCATTCTCGTAAGATCGTGGCACTGGAATTCACCGTGCTATGCCGACTACCACGAATGAAATGCAAACAACTACTCATTTAGAAAGCTTTTTCACGTGAGATCGGTGATTTCGCATGGAGAAAACTTTTTGCAGGAAGACAAAGGCAAATTTGAATAGGTTTTTGCATTTGTCATGGTTTGATGGTCGCCATAAAGGCCATAGTCATCGTGAGTTACATCTCTATGCGAAAATCTTTTTAAATGATGCTTTTCTAAAACCTTAGCAAATTGACCATTTACGCAAGCAATACTTTTTGGCGCCATTTTTGTAAAGTAATGGACTTTTGGTCACTTATTTGGGCCTAACTTCATGGCTTGCACATTTACTTGCCATAAACACCCAGCACTCTGCAAAAAGTGGAATTACGGACCCAATTTTGCGGGCCAAATGCAAAGTGGATCCGTTTGACGCGCAATTTTCAAGAGACCCACTCAACGAATCTGCTTGTGCTTTTGCATGTTGGACTTTCATGCCATAAGCAAGTGCTATGCAAAATTTGAGCCCAGAATGTTGGCTGGAACACGCTCTACGAATTTCGTGACAGACAGACATTCAGACAGACACACACACAAAAACACATAAACACTCTTAGCGCGTTATTATAGTAGGATTATTAATCAGAGAATCCCTTTAGCGAATTCTGGGGTTTTTTGATTGTAGGCCACCCAAGTGAATGCAAGAAATGCAATCATGAACGGCCGAAATGAGTGTTTGTCAATTACAAATGACTTTATGCCTTTTGTAGCGTTATGCAAGTTAAAGACCACTAGTGATTAGTCAAATATGGTATACAGTGTATTCCATTACTGATAGTAGTGGCATCCAAGGACGGCCGCCCTGACATCCGCGCGCCGACGGTGGAGGAGGTCAGTTCGTCTTTCACGTTTGGGACTTTTGTCTGTGAGACTCCGGGATGAAATCGAGGCTGGCCAGGATGGTGGAGGTTTTTGGTGGGTTAGACACTAAGTCTAAATTTACCACTTTAGGCCTCTGAAGACGACGATTTGATCAAAACGAGGGGGTTCAAGAAAGAGGAAACTTGGAAGTTACTAACTGATGTACCGCCACGACTGTTTCCTCTGGTCAAAGAAGCGCTCTCGCTCCAACAAAAAGTGGTATCCCTCCGCCAGTCAATCAAATACCTTCAACGGTGCAGGACGTCCGACACGATGCCAAAATTCATTTCAAGCAAGAAATTAGGAGCACTATGCTGTCTCGAAGAAGATGACTGGAAAATAAAGAAGATCTATCGAACGATTCTGGCAGTCATCATTAAAGAAAAACAACATGCTTTGCACTCGTCTTTGCTGAAATGTACTCGAAAAGAAGATGCGTGTCGACGTCTCGTGCCAAATCAGACTTGGAGGAGGATTGAGATCGGCTCGAGAACGATTTATGCTTCTATCCGATCTGAAGCTAAGGCCAGGCTCTGCGCCAAGTACGACAAACTTCGGAGTGCTGCTCAAAAAAGTTCAGGTAACGTTGAAAGCAGCTTGCCTTTAATCCACCGCTGTGATGAATTTTCAACTCAGAATGAGAATTATCAATTGGCTAAAGTCACGGTGATTGGCGAAACTTATATCTCTGATAACGCGCTTGGGTTTCTTAGTCTAGGTCCTTCATTCTGCATGGTTCAGAAAGTAGAGGGATCTGTTTCCCGGAAAGTCGTTGGTGGACTACACAGACTCCGAGATGAGTTTAAAATAAGGTGTAGACAATGTCAACAACCAAGGTCTACAGAATGATCCAGCGCGAATAATACCATCAATTTCTTTTTCAAGCTCATTCTACAAAGAACCTCAGCCATCAGCTGAAGCTGACGTCAAGTTCAAGATTCTATCTGCTGGCGTGCTAGCTGCTTACACTCATCAAGCAAAGCACCCAAACCGACCAACTTGACTCAGTCACAATGGCTTGGTTATAAGGAAATACGTGATCTAGTCTCTAGTAAAGCTGTGCGCATTTCAGTAAGCGAGAAGGGTGGTGAGTTTGTGATTCTCCCACAAATCCTGGACAGGGAAATCACAGAGCGCCCTAAGCGATACGGATACCTATCGCCGCGTTACTGAGCGCGAGTTTTAAGCACAATACAAGCGACTAAATCATGTTTGGTTGGATGTAGGAAGAACAGCGGGACTTCCCGAGAGCTTTCTTAGCAGACTGAAACTGAAAACACCACAGTGCCCAGTCTTTTATAGTCTTGTGAAGACCCATAAACTAGCCGCTACTGATGACGCGCGCTTTTTGAATGCTGAACAGTTTAAAATCAGACTGATCATAAGTTGCGCGGGAGGACCAACCGATCGAATATCCTGGTTCTTAGATAAAATCGTTAATCAACTACTGCACAAGGTTCCGTCCCATTTGACCAACACGAATCATTTTCTGGAACGAACAACAACCAACACGAACTTACAAACGAATTGCATAGCAGAGTCCTTTGACGTGGTGTCTTTATACACTAATGTTCGAAATGACGATGCATTACAAGCAGTTTCAGAAATGCTCGACAGCTTTGGCGAAAAGATCCAGACCTTCGAACTGAGTAAACGATCGATTATGCTCCTGATCAGAGAATGCCTTTCTTGCAACATCTTCAGATGGTCAGGAACATACTACACTCAGATAAGAGGTCTGGCAATGGGACAGAGACTTGCGCCAGTACTCGCAGTCTGCTTTATGAGCAGAATAGAAGAACCAGTGTTGTCGCGTCTACCTCTTATTTACTGTCGTTATATAGATGACTGTTGTATCATAACATCAACACAATCCGAGATGGATGAGTGTTTTCGGCTGCTTAATCAACAGTCAAAGTATATAAAGCTTACGCGACTGTAAGAGCATGTGATGTCGTGCTCTGTTTCTTTCACGGTTCTGACTCATTTAATTGAGGGCGTGCTCTGGAGATTACGTAGTCGCCGCGCGCGACAGGCTGGCAACAATCAGGTCCACGGAGAATTCGGGTAGCCGACCCACAAAGCCATACTGATCCTTCTTTGTAATGGTTTCTACAGTGCCACATCAATTTTTTATTTATTTGATGAAAGTTTGGCTACAAACTTGTAGGAAACAAAGGAAGATAGTGAAGGGAAATATGGAATTTGCCATGTTTTTGATCAGGAACTGTAAACTTTTTGCTCAATAGTCTTGATCCCTGGACATTTCCTCGGACATCTCCTCTGACTTTGCTGCCTCTCGTCGGGGTTACTGTAACGCCGTGTCGCGACAGTTCCTAATTGACACTCACAAGTAATGGGCGCACCCCTGCTTTGGGTTTTTAGGCCTCCGAGGACGGCGAAGGCGCCGAAACGTTAGGCCGATACTAATAAATGCACCATCCTAACAAGCCTGTATGGCAAGCAAGATTAAAAAGTTCAAAGGTAATTTTTGAGTTTCTGAAAAAAATTTCTCCCTGTCAAAACCTATTGAGCACCGACATGACGCACCATATACTTAAAAATAGATAATGTGCAGGCATGATTGTGCTATCCTCCCATACCAGCCACACCTATGGGCTACGCCATATTCGATTAGCACTTTGCCCTATCTCTCGCTCAACATCTGGAAGTATGGAAGTCCGTTTACAAAAGACAAGACCGACTTCCAGCCAAATTAAGGCCCGTATGCACGTACATCCCCGCTGGGGAAGGGAGGGGAGCTGGATCCCCAGGGGAGATCCTCTTTATTGAACCCCGCTATGCCAGAGGGGAGGGGAGCTATCTCCTCCCCTGCATCCACAGCGGGGAGGGTGTCATTGCGGTAGTCGTATCTAGCTCACGGCTACCTGAACATCTCGCCGAAAAAGCTATTTTCAGCCATTTTTTGTGTTCTAAATGGCTTTTGGGATGAGAAATACAAGAATAGTGAGAGTGCCTTTGTTCCTTTTCTCAGTCTTCTTTTTTTTCTCCTTTCACCCTTCCCATTAAATCTCCCCCATTGCTGTCTTCTTCTTTTCCCTACTATTGGTTTTAAGGGTTTATACTTGTTGCGTGCTGTCGTAGTATAATGTTGATTTCTGAAGTGGTGTGATTGTATTTAGCAGTTTCCTTGCAATTATGTTATGGCTTACTTTTCTCATAGAAGAACTCATGAGTGTGCAGTTTTGTAGTTTCTGTGTTTTTTCCGACGCTTGCTAGTCATTTCTTTGCGGTACTCTTTCGCTGCCACAAATTTTTGATTTTAGGGATATCGATCGGGCGGACCCTGGTGGGGATCCCTTCCCCTCCCCTCCCCTCCCCGTATGCACGAATGTAGCTCAACAGCGCGGGGGAGGGGATCGACATCCCTTGCAACGGAGTAGGGGTTCGATGGTGTAGATCATGCCAGAGAAGCGAGTATTCTGGTTTTAATCAACTATTACCAAGCAATTCGTTCAATTTGATGAAAGATTTCCTTTGAAAGCCGGATTCCCCTCTCAGCGACCTGTAGCTTGCAATTATTGTCTCTCTTCTAAATTCCCCTCTTGAAAAGAAACCCAAGCAATAACAGCTGTCATTCTCGAATATTTGTAGGAGTTCTTGATCATTCAAGAAATTTGCGCATTTTTCAAATGACATAATAGTTTTAGCCAGATAGGCTGATCAGATACATTGTAACTATCGTATTACATGAAATATTGCTCCTATCTTATTAATTTAACATAAGCTGCCTTGAAAAAATCTAGAAGTTAGCAGATTTGCCTAATTCTGAGTAGTGATCCCCTGGGGAGTGATCCCTTCCTCAGCAGTCCCCTCGTGCATAACAGGGATAGCCGCTGGGGATCTTCCCTTGGAGGAATGGACGGCATGTCGCTAATAGCTACAGCTCCCATGAAAAGCTAGCACGATTTGCAATTTCTTTTATGTGTAGAAATTCTAGTTTGAATGTCTGCGGCACCCTCCCCCCCCCCCCTTTCTTCAGCATAACGTATTCTACTCATTCACTGTAGAGACACCATGACTTCTAATTTTGGACACTTTTACGCTGAAATGTGCAGCATTAGCGAAAGTGAGCAACATCCTTGAAAACAGCAAAAATGTATTGTGCATAGAAAATTTTTCTTGGTGCGCCGAGCGCAATCACGGGCGATGGCATTCCGCAACGAGTAAAATATTGCCGATGACATGCTGGAGGCGAGTAGGCACCAAAAGATGAGAAAAGAGGAGCGATTACCACAAAAAGCGGAAGCGAAATGATTTTCCCGCTCGATCCCCCCTTCTGCATAAGGGGGTTCCCTTCCCCTACTTCCAGGGGATCCCCTCCCTGGTATTGCCTTGGTGCATACTGGGGTTCGCGTGGGGAAGGGAGGAGAGCCCCAGCGGGGGTCATTTCAATGGTTAAGCGCACATCCCCTCTTCGCGGGGATGTACGTGCATACGGGCCTAAAGCCCTGGCCATACCGTCAAAAAAATCACCGCGATGCGATTTGTGCAATCGGACAACTGCAATACCCCCTGTTTCATGCCGCCAAATTATGTATATCGGTCGTGCTAGCTGTCCGGCGCGACGGATCGCTGAACGTGTTTTCCTAGGCCATACCTATTCCAGCGATATCGCCGCGATTTGACCGAAATCTCGCGATATCGCGTCGCAAGTTTGAAACCTGCGACGGGGCGATATCGCTGGAATTGGATTTCTTCCCTGAAGGTTTTTGAAATAGTTCTTTTCCTTTTCGACTTGCTTTTTCTGTGGTGATGTTGAAATGTGATGCAGATTTCCTTCTGCACTTCGCAATTGCACTTCTGTCGTGTTGTGATGCGCGTCTTTTCTAATTCATTGCCATCAGTCAAAGAATATATTTAATTGTTCAAAACTCGTAATTGAATAACATGCGTAGTATTTAGCAGTGGCATACCGAGGAAGGGGGGTCGCGAAATTTTTAAAAGTTACTTATATGGGTTGTAAAAATGTGCAAAAGACTTATTTATACTTGTAAGTAATTAAATAATTTTTTAAATTTTTTAAAAAATCAATTTCGCTTTAAAAAAAATTTTTTTAGGGGGCGTGGCCGACGCCACGCCCCCTTTTTCTAAAATTCTGGGGTCGGGGACCCACAAAAGTTTTGAGAAGCACCCCAAAAATTTTTTCGGAGTGCGTGGCTCACGCCACGCACCTTCTTTAAAAAAAATTTTTGTCGCCCCCCCCCGAGCCGAAATCCTGGGTACGCCACTGGTATTTAGGTATCTAAATTTCGCGAAAAATCAGCAAAACCGCAGCTACAACTTGAGAAAATTGCTTTTGCATCCTGTATCTAACACGAAAAGTTGAATAAAGATGTAAATGCGCGAACTAATATGAAATGTTGATGCTGGACGTACTGGTGTCGAAAAAAGACAAAAAAATCTGCAGATGTAAAGAAATCACGCTAAATACTGCTTTTGGATGGCAAAAGAAAACGTAGAACGAGTGCTGAGGTGTGTATTTTCACCTTATCGCTGAACAGGTAGCTATGTCCAGAACCCGCGATGAGCGATTTGATAGTCGCGATTTCTTCGCTACAATCACAAAATTCTTCGGCGATGAAATCGCGACGATGAAATCGCTGTACGTATGGCCAGAGCTTAAGTGTTTCGCGCATAAAGCGCAGATGTGATGGAGCCGACAACAGACCTTTGCATCCCGCCAACATGCCTTGAGCACGAAATTTTGAGAAAGCTTCAGAGATTTTCAACAATTAAAAGTAAAAGTGTAATCGAAATCCATTAACCTGATTTTAGGCGATTTACGGCCATTACGATGACACTCTAATAAACGCTTACCAACCAACAATTGAATGCCAGTACTGCCAGATTTATTATCGTAGCATTTGAAAACATGGAGCATTTCAACAATCACAACAGACAAATCAAGAATACAACAGATGAGTGAAAATCATGAGATCCGTTTTTGTGTGAAAATAGCATCCCTAAATGTTCCATTTTCATAGTGGTTGGCAGGATAATATGCACGATCATTCGTTGTAGGTTCTCGGAATTTTCGATATGTAAGAAGACGTCTGTAAGGTATAATAAGAAAGAAAATCTTCTATGATGCACAGATCTCACCTGCTCGCCTTTAAGGAAAGACGTTGCTCACAGTTTGATATAAGTTCCAGCGCAGGATGATAAGGCAGGCAAGCCTCTGAGTAGCTAAATTTAAACTTTCTGATAATGTTCAACTATGAGTTGGCAGTACTTGTCACATTAGATTCCCGTAAACAGACAGTAGCATTGAGAGTTCGTAGTAAGAAAGTATTTTAAAAGAATTTTTTTTGCCGAAAGTGAAAATGCTGTAAACTTACTAATGGCTCGCCGGTATACTGTTCAATTGGTTATACTAACCACATGTTGACAGTAAGGCCCGCTTACAGTTGCAGTAGATTTTTGACAAAAAAAAAACGGAAACTGGCAACCTTCGGCAAAAGTAGCCCAGGTCTTCCAAAATTCTACAGGCGGTCGATCGTTAATATCTCTCTTCCCAAGAAGTCCTTTGTCTGCTCTTAGGTATCACTACGTAGACCTGGCTTCAACTTAGCACTGTAAGGAGCGAACCATCGATAGATTTTCATTACTGTAGAACTTCGGTAGGAACTCGCAGCATACCGCCACTGTGAGATAGGCCGTTTGTAAAAAATTTCCAACAAATTTGAAAAATTGTCTAGCAAGGTTTTCACGCACGGTTTCACTACACAACAATTCACGAGTTTTCAGGGCTTTTAAAACGTGTACTCAATGTACTTAAATTTCTGATGAGCATCGAGAAAGCTTATCACGGTTATCTAGCATAACTTATACATAACTATACAAGAAAGTGATGCGAATCTCATATTTGAAATTGGCGACTCTGATCAACCTAGTGTAGAAGTTTTTAGCTTTGCTGTGCCTTACCTAGGGATAAATTGTGGCCCTTGATTGATATAACCTCCCTCAGAATTCCTACCTTAATCTTACAGTAAAGCAAAGAGATTATGCTTCGCTACAACTGGAAATCTATTAGGTTGTGTAATAAGTTCTGTCCCATTTTTTCTTTCGATTTTTTCTCAATATTTTGCGCGATGTTCTGCAAATTGTTTATATGCATTTGAAAGCTCTGAGCCTTCTCTACTAAGACTTTCATCTCTGTTTTCTACATCAGATGACTTGAAAAAGTTTTACAGCGTCAAATCTGGAAAGTCAAACAAGGAAAAAGTCCATTTTCGACAACTACGTTACGTCTCCCTCTTAATTGGTTAGAATGCCTAGGAATAAGCTCGAAGAATTTGCTACACGTAAGCAAAGAATGCTCTAGCTTCTACTGCGCTTCAGAAGTGCTGAGACCTTTTAAAAATTGTTTTTGTAGACTTTAGACAGGTCTTCTTTCTAACGCCTTTTCAACGTTGGTGTTGGCCATCATCTGAAGGCCCGAGGGAAGACGGGAGGCGGATCATCCAGAAAAGACAGAAGGGATGGTTTGTGGTTCAAAATTATCGAATTCGTAGGTTAAATACTCAAATTCAAATTTTGGGAGCCACACAGCTTGGGTACGCGAGACGGCGAACATCGCCGTGACAAATTCTTGCCTTGCCGACCTTTGAGAAAATGTCGTCGAATGGCCGGCGGAAGGAAAGGAACGTGCGCGAACAGTGAGAGAATAAGTGTAAAAGTATATTAGATTGTTCTAGTTGTTGCCAAGTTTGTTTAATAAGTTTTACCAATAAGAATTTGGAGGAAAAAAGATGTCGAAAACTGATTTTTCGGCTCTTTGAATTTTTTGTTTCAATGATAAAAATTTTTTTCAATTTCCTGCTATATTGGGGAATATGCATAAGAGCCTGCAGAGCAGACTTAGAGCTTTCAAAGCATATACACTTTATCATAAATATAGTCAATGTTGTCAAGAAAAAACTAAAACAAAAAATGGGACAGAACTTATTACACGACCTAAATATTGAAGCCTGCTTCACTAAATAATACTTGGAGGTACGCAAAAGGTAAGCTTCTGGAAAGAAAGATACTAACTAAAACAGCGTATACACACTTTTGGGACATCGTGTATCTATATATTAGGTTGTAAAGAAAGTTCCTGGGCACTTCTGGAAATTTCACTTTCAAACGCCTTTTTTCGGCGCTCGGTCGGTCTTTGACACCAAGTTTTTTTTACTGTTCAGTAGAGGAAAGCCTGAAGTTTTCAATACCGCTTCTGATTTCTATCAAGGCCGAGACGTGTTTGACCTGCACATCAAAAAAGGAAATCTTTCCAATCATAAAAATTTCGCCATTTTTCTTCCTGCGCCCATTTTTCTGTGCAGCTTAAAGAATTTCGTCCAAATCATGAGTGATATGATTGAGGAACCTGTCAACTTCTGACCCGCAGCTGCACTCGAGTTTTGCTATTTGCGCTCAGAAATTACAAGCTGTCGAACTTGCTTCTAACTGCAACTCTTTTCGCAGCTGGCGTCGCTTCTGCAGTGATCGCCACGCCTGGACGATGAGTCCAAAAGATGTGTAAGGCATTACCATAACAATATTCGCCGTAAGCAAAGGTTTGATCCTCTTTGTGCAGAACTAGAAGATTCCGAAGCCACTTACTCGAAAAATGGTGCATTTTTAGGGGCAATGGTCGATTTTTCAAGCTTTCTGAGGAAAATTTTTGTGCAGGAGGTCCTTCAAAAACATGAATGGTTCCCAGAACAGCCCCAGCAGAACTCTATATAATTGCAGCATCTGGACTCTCCAGCTGTTATCCTGCCTGAGATAATCCTGCACAAATAGGCCACTTTTCGCGACGACTTTTCTCCCTTCTGCGTATGCTGGTGGACCGTAGTGAGGCGCTGAAAAGCCAGCAAGACATGTATATGTTGTGGACAAAACTGTCTTTGCAACTTGTTTGCAACAACAACAACAACAACAACAACAACAAGTTTGCAGCTTCGAAAAAGAATCAATCTGCTTGAAGTTACAGCGATTTGAAAAAAATTTTCGCAAGTGCCCGGGAACTTTCTTTACAACCTAATACAAAACGTTATGAATACAGTCATGAGTTTAGCCTTCCAGAAACGGTAACTGGAGAATTAAATTCACCAAATCTTCTAATGGAGAGCAACCAGAAAATTTATTGAGTCTACGTGAATTATTCTTTGAGGTTTGGAGTCATCTTGTACAACTCGTTCTCCCTACTGAAGTCAATTAAGCCTAGAAGGAAAAAAAATTCGAAGTTATAGGATTAGTCGAACTAAAAACACCTTTGAGGTAAAAGACATGAAAATGCCCTTCAAAACAAAATCTCGGAGTCAACCGCAAAAAATTTAAAAGCTTTCGAAAAACACTTTACAGAGCTTGTTCAATGTCTGTGATCCGTCTTCGCAAATGCACTTATCAAGCATACTGTGCGTAAAGTCCAGATAGAACTGGCTTCAGCCATCGAAATCTAAGTCTTTCACTGTGTTATTTGATTTTCACACTTAGGAAAACACCTCTGGGCAGATTTAGCAAAAATTTTCAGAGTCAAACTTTGCAATCGAGAATCCACATTGACGCGCAAGGAGCAAGTGTGCAAACGCACATTTATTTGGAAACTACCCGATTGTGTGTTATAGAAGCAGATTAATCATTATTTTGACACTTTGCGCAAAAACCCTTATTCCAATAAGATACATAAAGTTGACTCCATTTTTAATGATGAACTAAGAGACTCTCCTTTGTAAACTGATCGATGCGATCTCGACCAATGATACAGTGATAGAAAAAAAATTTGCCCACCTTTCCAATATGACGGGAAACCAAAAGGATAACTTTCCTCCGATAGTTAATACGGCGGCGGCAAGATCGCATAGATCCGTAAAAGTTCTTTCCAAGGAGTAAGGGGCCTTCTCGGGGAAATGAGCTTCACTAAAAGATCAGTTACAATTCAGGGGGTGGCAGCCCTAGAGTTCAGTCTTACTGCTCACTGCCCGGCAATGTCCAGTGATCTTTCCTCGGCTTCTTTCCAATTTTTCGACCCTTCTCTCGTATCCCATAAGGAGCTAAAATAAGCATTACTCAACGTTCTTACCGATACTGACCAAAACTTTTTGAAAACTAACGGTCAGTGACTATCGCGTTGAATATAGGCCTCGCCCATAAGTCATGCCAGCTGGCGTCAGCAAGCAGTCCTGACAGATATCGGCCCTCCGTACCGTACTGCTCGAAATTAGCTCGTACACTCTCTTCCCTCGAGCGCATTACGACATCGTGTCGAGAAGATTTTCCTGCATTCAAACTCTCACTATGCATATATACATTTGAATTGACATTTAAGTGTACAGCTAAGTTTGAAATCCAACTTTTTGTTCTCTATGCCCTTTGGTTTTCAAGGAAAGTTACCTAGACTACTCTCTCTAGGAGTAATTACATGGAATTATCTAGCGAAAAAAGTTTTTCGAAATGAACATTGCGCGTATTGCCTTACAAAAAAAAACAAGACAATTGATGAAAGGTGGATTGATATTCTAGCCACGTACCTATGGCTTTCGCAATTTGGTAGTTGATTTCAGTGCCGACTACGTAAGCTCCAAAATGTGCTGCTGGTAAAAGAAGACCAGCTAAAATGAAGTGATTCAGCTGTCCAGAGCCTAATGAAAGCGGACATAGACGTGATTAAAACGTACCTGTACCCATAAAAGGATCCAAAACGAGATCGTGAGCTTTGACAGAAGAGATGTTGTTCTACAAAACCTCATATGATTACGAAAACCGTCAAAAGTACTTGACTAGTTATTGTATTTTTCAGACAGATAGTATTTGTGCTGTCGAAGATTATTACGTAATTATCTACCTGTATAAAAGCTAGCTCAGGATCCATTGTGGTATTCCCAATGTAACGTCTTTTCTTGATATCGTAAAAGGACTTCAACTTAAATTGTCCATGACCTATCTGAGAACTGAAACCGTGAAACAGAGGCTGTGACTGGCTTCACTGACGGTAGCAGAAAGCTCAACATGAAGCACAACTCACAAGTCTGCCAAAGATCAAACGTTTAGGCTTGACATCATGCGGTCCCTGATATTCCTCTAATACAGTGAAGGTGTTGAGTGGATCTACCAACTCCACAGGAGCAACATCGAGAGGTAAAACAGCTGCAACTTCCTGAACATTGTATCTTTGACAAAGGCAACAGCTTCATTTGAAATAATGTGATGAGCGCGCACATGGGGGAATTCGCGTAGCTCAGCTTATTGTTTGCAACTGCACATGGTCGCTGCATTGCAGAATAATGTTCTTTATGTTTTTTTTCAATTTCAAAATTTTCCAGTTTGAATCGCTTCAAGCCACCCATTCATTGTTGAGGCATTAGATGGACCGATCATTTGGCGCTGTAGCACTCAAAAACTCTAACCATACGTCTCCATTGTGCTTGCCATGCCACAATGACTTGAGAAGGGAAAAAAAGGCGGCAGTAATCTGACTTGCAGATAATTTTAACTTCTAGAGAATCAAGATTTTAGTGTATTACACCGAAGCAGGTGTTTCATATGGTATCTGGTGGAACATTAACAGATTACATAGCAGTCGGTATCGAAAAGACCCTGCCCTTGACGGAATTTTACCATGCCGCTAGTGGCCAAGATGGTGCGTCATGAGAACTCAAAAATAAAGGGAGAACCTCTGCAGTCTTTAAGCAATTGATGCCTTTCTTCCTTCCTGTGGGGCGTACTTTTACGCAAAATGACTGCTCGTTGTGATCATACCTCTGTAAATGGACAATAAGAATAAGAAATATATACCTTGATTGCTAGGACTGCTACTACAAACCTCGAAGTCTTCTTTTCGGAGCAGGATTTGGCTATACAGTTCTTCGTATGTGCCAGCCGAGTACATATGTTCGTAAGCAGATTTCAGCAAAACGGATCGGGAAAGGAGTTGCACAATATCGCTCTCGGCATGACCATCGACGATAAATATATGTTGCTGAAGAACATGGTGAGTCAATAGCACCCAGTCTAAGGTAGCCAAAACCCGAGCAATCTTTTGCAACCTCACTCTAAATAAGAGGAGCCCACTAAAACCTTTACTTGCACATTCCCATTATGTCTACCTCATGGTGCGAAAGCAAATTGAAACTTATCTGACAAAACTCGGTTTTTTCTATACAGGTACTGTAAATAAACTAAAAATCTCTGGATACAATGAATACTATTGACTAAAACATAAGGTTGCCCGATAAGTTTGATTTTCTTATACTGAGAGCACTGCCCTTTACCGTCCACAATTTTTTGCAAAGTTCATAACCGAACACGCGATAACACTTATCAATCAAAATGTTTCCGAACATGCGTTGCCTTCCTTGCATGCAAAATGAACAAAAAAATTGCATCCTTACATGAAGTAGGATTTTACATCAGTTTCCGACCACGCTAGTTATCAACCATACGCGGCACCACACTGAGGTGGGTCGACAGGACGATATCACGAACAGCGCGTCAAAAATAGGGGCGATACGCAGAGGGAAAAGCAGACGAGAACATCCGCAGCGTAAATTCCGGGGTCACCTTTATGAAAACTCCGAACAAGTTCTTTAGCGCATCAATGTTAATCCAGGAATGAAGACACTGATAAATACACAGGTGAGATTGCATACATGTAAAAGTACCTCAGTATTCACTTGCGAATAATCGAAGTCTAACTCGAGGGCATCACATATTCCTTGCAATTCAGGTACCCGGAAATTCGTATGAACTTGAGAAAAGAGAAGAGCAACTTTCATCTGCAACCATAGCACACAATAACGTTACAGGTTATAACCTTGATAGTAACATATAGACAGAAATAATATGAACAAGCATCAAAAAGCCAAGAAAAGAATGTGGATGCACTCTTTATTCACATGCTCTACTGCTCTAAAAAGAACGTACTACACCTAGCAACCGATCTACTTCAAAGCATCTTGTAGGCCAAATCCTGGTCCTTTCGGTTCTTCCTAAAATTGAATGATAAAGTGACTGGCTCTCTTACGAAGACGACAACTATGGAAAGTGTACTTACAATCAGTGATGTTGGTTTTCCCAATGGCTCAGCTGCAAGACGGCCAGATCGAGGGCCAGGATGGGGACGTCGACCAGCTTTCAAGTCATTTAGAATGTCATCGACGTCTTTTGGCGTAAGATCTTCGTAGTAGTCGTCATTTACCTGCAATAAGTTGCAACTTCTTCACTGCAAACAAAGTAATGAACATGCCTGTATCATAGGTGCATTAGCACAAGCTCCTAAACATTCAACTTCGGTTAGCGTGAATAAACCATCTTTTGTGGTCTCTCCCACATGAATGCCTGGAAGAACGAAACGGCATTGCGTTGGAGTGAAGAAAAAAAAACAGAGTAAACGAACCTAAAGTTTTCTCTATAGTCTCAGTGATGGTTTCGGCGCCACGCAGCATGCATGGAGTTGTTGCACAGACCTAAAAACTGCAAACAGGTAGACGCAACTGCTTTCTTACATCTAAAGCCTCAAAAGCCAGAGAAGAAGACAAAACAACTGAAACCGCATAATGTCTGCAAACCGAAAGTTAATTATATTATAACACTGTAATGATTATAGCTGAGAGTTCCTAACTTCAGATTAATCTACCCTATACAATGAACCGAAAAAATTCACAAAACCAGCAATGATGAAAATTGTAAAATGCAAAAAGCCAAAGGAGATGGGCGATGCTAAATGAAACGACTACAGTCAAAAACGCACAGCTTCGCTGATGATAAATGAGATATTGAGGAAGCATAGAATGGGTCGATGAAAAAAAAGCGAATCTGTTCAGAACTGATGTCATATACTCTGAGACTAAGAAACTCGGCTAAACAAACTTGAGCCTGCGCTTCCCTTGTCCTAAGAGATAGTTAGTCTTAGAAATGGGTTTATAACCGCACGAGCTTGTTCAGACAATGCGTGCAAAACGTACTCGATTTTCTAGTTTCAGTTGAATGGTAAAAAATGAGCATAAAGCAGAAAAAATGCGCAACAGAGCAGAAGCAAATCGCAGGTACGCTTTGTATAATCAGAAACGGAAAATATATTAAAATAATATAAATAAATAATATATCTTGTTCGACTATACTATAGACACTTTATTGCACGCAAAAACTAACGCCGCTGCATCAGACTAAGATAGTAGTATTGTGAGGAGACAGCAAACGGGAGGAAAAACGAAGATGCGTTTGATCTTCGACACCGACAAGGTCCGCAATGGCGACCTGTCTCTGCGTGCGATAAATGGCCTATGTATAACAAAATGTGGTACCTGTAAGAAATACTTTCCCACGGGCTGCCTGTTGAACATCGTGTAGAATGTGGCCACCTCGTAGGCTCTCATTCGAGGCACCTCTCAAAAGTAGTGAATTATAGTGACTGGATTGAAGATCAAAAGCATCATACCTAAGATTCGGGCAACCTCGTGCATGGCAGAGATGGGTAACCAACCATGTTGACGCTGTGCCAAATCTAATGCAGGGATCAGCGCAGCACCTTTGTGTCCTTCAGGATAATTTGCAATGATAGCATCCAATCTCTTCCTGTTCTCCTCGTTGAACTCAAACTTGACTTTCACATTGTTCACTTCAGAATCACGGTGTACCATCAACCCGCTGGCTTAATATTCATAAAAGAAGATAAAAGCTGAGTACACATAATGCAAACTTTGGCGTACCTGCAGTTCTTTTCGACACGAAGCTTCCCAATCGGCTAATCAAGGAGATAGAGGCCTTCATTATTTAGCCTAAGTGAGAAAAAAATCCAGAAAAGGCAGCTTGTTTTGCAAAAAATCTAAATGATTTAACGGGTGCTCACGTTCGATTCGAGAGAGCTGCCGTGCGACGCACGGTGTTCGCGGAGATAGCAGCGAGCTGGGTGTAGGCCGGAAGGCGACAAAACCCAGTTGGAGCGAGCACATGGAGGCCACGCCCCCCATGAGCGCCTGTGACACCGGGCGCGAGGTCAACCAGGTCTGAGACTGACGCTCTTTCGGCACACGCGCTGGCGCACTAATGGTAGCAGCATTATTCGGAGTTCCTATTAATTTACTTGTTGGCTAGAGTCAAACTACTGGTCAAATATGGACTAAGCAGTGTACGGAGTAAATGTGTCACTTGAAACCTGTTTATCTCCTTGTTGATACTTGTCCATAAGTTTGGTATGCAACTTTTGGTTTCCTCAATTCAAGATAAAACAGTTCAAGCATTACAGACCTACGAAACACTTTATTATAGCTTTGGAACAAATGAGAGAACATAATCGCAATCCACCATCCAAACGGTTATAAGCAGATCAATCTCTTCGAAAGTGCGTTCTTTTGATCTAGGAGTGCAGTTCTTTAACGATCTTCATTGTTTTAATTCACGGAAGTCGATTTGCCACATCAATATTTATAGATTATGCATCGTAACGACTGAGCTTATCATGAACGGTAATCAGGACATGTCAAGTGTGGTACTTTCAAACAGACAAGATAAATCAAAGCAATCATACTGTTGCAAATCGGTTCCCTTTCGGTGGAAGAAATACAAATACTTTTTGCCGGAAATCCAAAATTGTCTAATTACTCAACCCGCTTAGCAAACCCGCATTCTGTCCATAAGCAATTCTATGACCTTTCTCGTGCTTTTCTGCGCTGTTCTGTCCTACAGTTTGAACGGTAATCCTTTATTCTCAACGAAAAAAAGGCAGCGATGCTAACAATAAGAAAAAAGAATGGTTGTTATCATTAACACATTGCAATGTGTTGCAAGTGACAGCTTAAATCAAAAAGAAAAAATTGAAGTGTTCGAGTAATCTCAAAATCGAGATCCCACCGCGGAATGCGTCCTTGCTCAAAGTGCTCCGAATCTTCTTCTATGTTCGACCTGAAGAAAAGTCGTATTGTGAAGAAGATGCAAAAGAATGATAGCTCACCTTCACTTGATATAACTGGCTTACAGTACCGTTGCTGGGTGGAATTCTACTCACATTCTATCAGTTCGACATCATCAACTTGAACGAGGTCTGCACAAGAATAATTGACATATAAAAAATACTGTATAGTCAACTAAACACCTAACTTATGAAAAAATACAAAAAAACACATCATTAAAGAACGCAGATATCTACTAACCTCCTTACTAGGATGATCTTTTATTGCACTATACATATTGCTGCAGCCTGAAACAAAGTTTTCTACAAAAGAGAGTTTTGAAGAGCATATGCTTACAGATAGGCAAATGCAAAAGAAAGCAAATCATCACATTACCACAGTGAGCAAACATACACGAAACAAAACATTCAAAAAACCGCGTGAAAAGAAACGACGAAGATTGAGAGAGCCATACGCAATGTGTATAAAGGCGTCCCAAGGGATCGTTCATACCGCGCACGAAGGCGGACGAAGGCGGACGAAGCCGCACAAAGGCGGACGAAGCCGGACAAAGCCGGACAAAGGCGGAAAAAGCCGGACAAAGACGGACAAAGGCGGACGAAGGCGGACGAACTGCCAAAGCGCAGGGGTTTGCCGGCGAAGTGCCATATTGGAATACGCGTGAAATACAGCGCGCGTTGTGCACGTATGTTAGTCATATATAACTCAACGCACAACGCGCACTGTATTTCACGCGTATTCCAATATGGCACTTCGCCGGCAAACCCCTGCGCTTTGGCAGTTCGTCCGCCTTCGTCCGCCTTTGTCCGTCTTTGTCCGGCTTTGTCCGGCTTTGTCCGGCTTCGTCCGCCTTCGTCCGCCTTTGTCCGGCTTCGTCCGCCTTTGTGCGGCTTCGTCCGCCTTCGTGCGCGGTATGAACGATCCCCAATCCAAATACCCAGAGCATCCTAACAACGGGAAACTCGGACAGGGCGTGGCCACTAGCTGCGCCTGTTCTAGGTCATTTGTCGCCTTCCGGACGTTCCCCCAGCGAGCTAGGAGATGCGGTAACCGGTAAACGTTGAGAGGCTCGTTAGCCGTGGAGCGCGTCAGCGCAACCTTCAGCCATAACTAGCTGTCAGCTGAGCTCATTTCATTTCATTTATTACACGGGGGGAGATCCCATGTCCGGCATAAGGCCCTGGTCAGACTTCACGCGACTTTCATTTTCATTTCACATTCAAAAATTTCGGGCTGGAAAAGTATCACAACCGAATGCAAGTTTATCGGCATGGAATGATGTTGTAACAGTTGTCTAGTCGCGATTCAGTCGCGACGATCAAATCGCGTGAAGTCTGCCCGAGGCCTAACGAAAAAATGAACAATAAAACACAACGTGTACGAAAATGTAAAAAAAAAAAACAACATAGAACCCGTGTGCTAGCAGCAACCAGGGCTGAGCAAGAAGTCAGGCACGAGTCCTTCAAAAACACCCCCCCCCCCCCTGTGAAAGCCCCTAAACGACCCTCCGCTTCACCTCCAAGTCCTCAGGGTGTTATATCTTGAAGAACCAGCCTTCACTGCAGGTTTATATTTTTTGAAAGTCTGTAGGCCCAACTTTCTGCGATTGCACAACCACACGCAATTGACGGCAAGTTTTAGATCTGGATAGACCTCTTTTCAGAGCTATAATTTTCACAGGGGTGGAGTGTTTGGCTCCAAATTTTCAGTATAGCAACAAGAGGCTTTGCGCTCAATACTCATATCAAAAAAGGGGCGATTTTTGAATTCTGAGGGCAAGTTAAGAGGGTCAGGTGCAACCCTTCAAAAGCTCAGGCGGCCTGACCTTTTGAGGGGTTGCGCCTGACCCCATTAACTTTATTTCCAAAGCAGCTTTTCTACCCAGGTTTTATGTGATTCGCTAGCTCAACCCTTGAAGATTCCACAGTAAGTGTTTGAGCTTGATTTGACTTGTTTCGCCTCGTGCTAATCCGAGGATTGAAGCACTCAACGTGAAAAACGCGCCGGTTAGAATTTTGGCAGCACTTCTTACTTCACTGTTTGAAAGCGATATGAAGCTCGATTTGTAGCATGCACTTGTGGAGAACATTACTTTGTAGTATTCAAATACTGACTTTTCTCATTTCTGAAACCAAGTTGATCACGTTTGAAAATCACGCTTTTTAAGCGTTGAGAAACACTAGAAACTGAAGTAGGTAATGGTTTGTAGAGTGCATAGAGTGGTTTGACATGCTGATTATGGAAATGATACCCATTTCACACAGCAAACTTTCTTGTTTAAAGGATATTCGTCGACGACAGCCCCGTTTGGTGCATTCACACCACAAAGCGTGTGCGTTTCTGGAACGGTTCCAGCTTTACAGTACGCTGCGGCGCGCCAGGAATATGCAGTTTGCGGCGTGTTCGTCCTATAACCTCCTTGACCGTTTCAAGCGTTTTTTGTGAATTTTTTCTTCATTGCAAGCGTTTCTCGTGATTTCTTCTTCATAGTTTTCATTCCATACACATGTTCATCCCAATTTTCTTGCAGGCTTACTCGATCGTAAAATTTTCTACAAGTTCTAGCTTGGTGGATCGTAAGATGGCGGAAAATAAAGAGGTTTGCAAGCGACTCAAGAATTCTTTTCTCTTGCTTCCACAAATCCATTTCAGAACCTCGAAGGGTGCAGCTCACGATTCGCGAATGTACAGGTATGATGTCTTAGATTAGGGTTTTATCAGACTGGCCATTTTTATAGGATGTTTATGTGGTGCCGTCTCCTCAAGCCGGTTCAGGCAAAAGAGTGAGTTTTTTCTTGAATAATAACACGTAGTGTTTCTGCATATGGCAGAAAGTGCAGGTTTTGTTTCAATGTTTTAAAATGGTCTCCTATTTGCCATCAAATCAGTCCATGCAAGTGTTTGTTTTAGTTCTGCGTCAGAGACATCAAAGTCACCGCTGCGCTACTGCGTTCTAGACAGGTGAGTTACTTTCTTTTCCATTCTGTTTATTATGTTCTATATCCCTCCTACCGTACTGACGAGCCTCGAGGAGGGATAAATTGGTGTTAAATAATGGTGTCTAGGGTTGAGAGGCGAAACACTTACTTTGTTTTTTTTATCTTTCTCCATACTTTGTTGATTTCATTTGTTTAGGAAACTCCACTGACATCGCACGCGGAACAGGTTAGAATTTTGAAGTTGTTAACGTGGTTTTGCTTTTTCATTGCTTGGAAACTAAACAGTAATTTCTAACTACGTATTGTTGCTAAATGTACCCCTTACCTCTTAGTTACACCATCAGTTTTCATTGTGCAGTCCTCGCTTTAACTTTCTTGAAGAAAGTTCAAGTAGCAGAATAATTGGCAAAAAATACATTACAGCGGCAGCCCCTCGTGGAGATGAAAGTTCCGAATATCGCCGCGACTGCGAAAAAGCTCCGCTCCGTAAGCTTTATATTTGTGTTATTTACTTTTTATCCTTAGTCACACTTCAGCATTCTATAGGGCTCGCCAGGTCACTCAGCTGCGGTGCGAACACAACCACTCAATCTGCTCTTGGCTTCAGCGTTGTCCGACAAACATCGTTTCGTCCCGTATTTAGGGTACGACCATAAGCTTTTCTAGATTCAGCCTTTCGGATACTCGGCACACTACTCACAATTCATTATTCACACGCTGTAAAGACCTTATGACAGCATCATTCACATCATACTCAACTATACTATCAACTATTACATCTATTGAATCTGTATTTATTCACTGTCTGCTACCTCTGCTATATTCGATATTCTATATTCTACTATATTCTACTATACACTATATTCTTATCTGCATCAAGTAAGTCATGTTGAAGACTGCTCGGAGAAGGGTCTCGTTGGTGTGAGGTCGTGAAGTGTAAGAACCTCAAAGGATTCTACACCTTTGCGACTCTGCACTGACACACACATAAAAATGTTTTTTGCTTACCTAAGATCTTTATCACCACATTCGCATTGCTTTGTAGCTGAAAGAGGTAGTGCTAAAGCTGCATACTAATCTAACATACTCAAGAGGGAATCTGGGTCGTAAGGCGCGGATCGTTATTGCCAGACTGGCATTTGAACGCACTCAGCGAGTATTGAACCCCAGGTATCTTGTGGAGCAAACATAGCAGTTCGCCAGATAATTCCAATTGTTTTTCGTGATGGCAGTTGGAAACTCCGCGCCGTACGAACGTCCCCTCTAAAAAGGAAATGGCAAAAATTGCGTGTTTCAGAATCCCAATTGCGATAGACAAGGCAGCGGCGCCACTTGTGAAGGACGGTGTGCTAGTCAGCTTTTTGAGATAGAGAGCAGAAGATTGTTAAGAACGTCTCGCCTTTGTCCAAAATACGGAGCGGAAGCAAAGTCGATAATTCGCAAAGTCAGAGAATTTTTCGAGGAACTCAAAGTAGCAATGGCAGGGACGTGCGCACGCGTCATATTCCAGCATCCTCGAAAATTGACGGCTTCAGCATGTGGTGTGTCTGAAGACGTAGTAAAACGCATTCCAGAAGATGTACATCAAGCCGCAAAAAGGTCTGGAGCAAGCAGGAGACCACCACTATCCAAAAAACAAAGACGCCAAAGAACGCTCAACATATATGGAGAGGAATGGGGCGAGAAGGTAAAGCAAGCTATACACGGAAGACTTAGAAACGAAGAAGACGTTACTATAACTGAGCTTCACTCCCTCCTCCAAGCAGAATATAACAACTTCTGCATGTCGCGCACCACCCTATATGAGCTTGTCAGAGCTTTAGGGTTCTCCTACAGAATGAATGATGATCAAAAAGTCATTTATCAAAGAGCTGATTTGATCCAAAAGCGCTCGAAATATCTGCAACTGATCGAAGAGGCTAGGGAGCACGGAGATTGCCTAATATACACCGACGAAACTTGGATTTTCTCCGGCATGGTCAAACCAAGAGGATGGAATGACAACAACATTCCGAGATTCGCACCGAAAGAGATGCTGGAAAAATATTCATGTGGTAGGAGCGTTGGAAAAAATAAGGGTGTGAGGGCAATAGTGATCGGGGCGATGGCGGAGGACGGAGTGATACCAGGATGCACAAGAATGGTCATCTGTATCACGAAGACATGAATCATGAGCTCTTTGAAGAGTGGCTAGAGCACTCCATCCCCCACATGAAGAACTGGGCAGGAGAAAAACGAGTTACACTAATCATGGATAACGCATCCTATCACAGCAGACAGATTGCAAAAATACCCAGCACCAGTTCGACCAAAGCAGAAATAGCTGGATACTTGTCCTCGAAGGGTGTCACAGTGAGAAATAATGTTACAAAAGCCGTCCTTCTGGATCAGGTGACATTTTCCTATCTTTATGCTAACCGTTATTTTGAGAAGTTTAGCTTCACGACTACATAGAGGCCAGAGGGGGTCGAGACGCACTTCGAGAGTATGCTGTGGATCGCAGGTGTGCCGAATTAGGAGTCAGCTTGATACGTCTGCCACCGTTCCACTGCACCTTCAACCCCATCGAAAAATGTTGGAGCCAGCTGAAGGCTCATTTAACTAAGTATGGTAAAGTTACGGATAAAATCGACACGGTAAGTGGTAAAGGCAGTGCAATTCAAGCAAAAAATCAAGCATTAGGTAAGAGCAAGGGCAGTGGAATGGATGCGTAGCGTACCTCCGTCGTTCACATCAGCTTGGTTCCGCTTTGCACGAAAAGAAGAAGCTGCAGCACGTTCCAAGGAAGAAATTGACCGCGCAGAGGAGAGTTCGTCGGATGATACTTACGAATCCTCTGAAGAAGTCGAAGAGGAAGAAGATCAAGAGGATGAACTGGAGTGATAGTTTGTGGTACAAAGTAGTAGTTGTTATAGTACAAAGTTGCAGTACAAAGTAGTATTTCCTACATTGTAACATCAAGTGAAACGTGTATGTTCGTATATGTGATGTATTCAGCAAAAAAAACTCCCAGATGAAGCAGGCAAAAGAGTAATTTTGATGTCTCGCTCTACCCCTCTGCACTAAGGTGATGAGTCATGAACAACAGTAATTAGATATCGAAAAGAAATGTTAGTCTAATGAGCACCTGCTCCTCGGACATTCATTGTATCAGGTCCTACTGCTACTATTGAGGGTAATAGTCCGCTGCTTAAGAAAATTGCCTCAAAATGGATATAGTGCAACATAGTTTCTGACACCCACGCCTAGTGAGTACCTATGATAGTCCCTCAGTCTTTAGTATTTGTTAAATAAGCAGTAGGACCTGATACAATGAACATTATGATTGCTTATCAATGTTCCTCGCTGAGCAGTGCACTGGTCATCAATAAACGTGATGAACAATGATTAGTGATGAACAATGAGCACTGCCTGGTCTTTTGCAATGAACATTGATAAACAATAAACACAAATCCCTAGGCAAGTATGAGAAGTCCAGCAGAAAGTAACAACAACAACAACAGAAAAAGGTATGATCTAATAACGAGCCAAAAAAACTGAACAAAAAACAACAAAATCAAAAATTCCGTTTCGTTCCTTTCCTTAGACGGAAAAAATGGCAAAAAACTAATCAAAAATAGAAAGGAGCCCTCCCCGGAACTCATCAGTAAGGAAGGAGGGCTCAACACATCAAAATCAAGCAAAAAACTCACAGGAAGTTCATCTTCGTGGATGTGGAGTCCAATGTTGCGTGAAAGCGATGCTGTCATCCAATTTGCACTTTCGAGCAGACCACATGCAAAACAAATGATACTCAGGCAACAAAATCTATGATTTCTACGCAGCGAAATGGTTGACAGCGGAGCGAATTGCGTAATCGAAGCAAGATTGCCGATCGCAGGCAAGAAGATGGATTGGAAATTATAGGACAAGTATGGCGCGAAGTGATATTCCTGGCGCGCCGCAGCATACTGTAAAGCTGGAACCGTTCCAGAAACGCACACGCTTTGTGGTGTGAATGCACCAAACGGGGCTGTCGTCGACGAATATCCTTTACCTCATATGTCAAGGTAAAAGAGAAGAAGATTTGGATTTTGGCTGAACCTTCCATTGTGGAAACAATCAGTATGCTGTCTATGACCGTCATTCCTTCATGTGATCGCGATATCCACCGGACTAGCGCATTTCTTCTTCACCTTCTTAGTATCTCCCCAACTTAATAAATTCGATTCTTAATTACGACTCCCCCCCCCCCCCCAGTCTTAGGGTCGCATGCACTAACATCCCCGCGGGGCGGGGAGGGGATCGCAGCTTAAAAGAAAGCTTTATATTTCGCAACTCAAGACACCTGGATTTCACTTTGTGTACTTATCCGTGAGTATTCCTACTACCCTTCACTATGAACATGTTGAAGAGGAGCGAGAAGCTGTACGAACCGCATTTTCCAGCTTTTGTATGATCCCTGATGATCCCCGACGCTTCTCTTTAAAGTCATTTTCTTTCTCCGAAGTAAACGAAAAACCTCCAAAGTTGTGCAGATTATCCAATCCGACAGTGCTGAGCATGTTAGTGATAAGAACAAATGATGTTTTGAAGTCATGAAATTTTCGATGTTCCACAGGCCGAAATTTGAGGTTTACCGAAAAATTCGACTTTTCAAAAACTCATTTGTTCTCATCAGCAGCATGCTTAGCACTGTTGTGTTAGATATTCTGTACAACTTTGGAAGGTTTTCGTTAACTTCGGAGAAAGAAAAATGACTTTAAAGAGAAGCGTCGGGGATCATCAGGGATCATACAAAAGCTGGAAAAGGCGGTTCGTACAGCTTCTCGCTCCTGTTCAACATGTTCATAGTGAAGGGTAGTAGGAATACTTACGGATAGGTACACAACGTGAAATCCAGGTGTCTGGAGTTTCGGAATATAAAGCTTTCTTTTAAGCTGCGATCCCCTCCCCAGCGGGAGGTTAGTGCATGCGGCCCTTACTCTTAATACGATCCCTCAGGTCGGGCGCGCCTGACCCCACGCTCAACCCTGGTAACAACTTCCACTGTCGGACTGTAAATAATCTTTTAAATGCGTTTAAACAAAGTTAGCTTTGTTAGCAAGAAAACGATTTCTTATGAGGGTACTGTTCCACTTGATACAACCCAAAAATGAAAACCACAGATTTCGCTGAAAGTCGCCTAGGGGGTTAATCGACCTCCTTCCCGATCACGAAAATGATACTTATTTTTCATGGTGGGCTATTTTGAGGGGTTACGGTAGGCATACGGCATGGGATCAAAGCCTCAGAATTCGCTAAAACTTCTCGTAGGTGGTCACTCGACATGGTAATCACGAATACCATGTTCACTCCCCACGAAAACGCTTATAGTGGGGTTACGGTAGGTGTACGGTAGGGGGTCAAAACCGCAGATCTGCCTGAAACCTTGTACAGGGGTGTCATCTGATGTGCTCATCACGAATACCGCGCTCATTTTGCCTATAAAGCTTTCGGATTTCGGGATCCCAATTTGTCTGAAAAGAGGGAAGAACGCTTACCTAAACGCTGCGAATTGCCAACTTTACGATATAGCGTTGTTGTAGCGAGCAAGCCTATATATTGGTTATCAGCACGTTTGAAAACCCCCTAGGCAACGTTTTAAGCAAGTTTGAAATTTTCACCCATCTACCGTATACCCACCGTAACTCGAGAAAATGGCACTACCGTACAAAGTTAGTATACTATCCATGTTCAGCGTGCTGTATAACCCCTCCAGACCAAAAAGCAAATCTAGATCTTGACCCCCTACCGGACACCTACCGTAACCATACAGGGAGACGTTTTCGTGCGTAAGTGTGATATTCATTATTAGCATGTCGAATAACTCCCTTATGCAAGTTTTACCGATTTCTGAGATTTTGAAATCATACCGTATACCTACCGTAACCCCCACATGCATAATAAATGTCATCTTTGTATCAGCAGGTCTAATAACCCCTTAGGCGAAATTTCAGCGAAATCCGTGGTTTTCAATTTTTGGGATGTATCAAAGGCGAATCCTTCAAGGCTTGGAAAATCCTCGACTTGAAGTTTTTCGCTTACCTGGGGTAATTCGACGCGCTTATTTCGAAAATACACTTTTAAGAGCACGAAAATGTTGAAAATCAGCATTTTCCCAAAGGTTTTCATTTTGAATTTGGACGAGTGGACGGCGGGTGGATGACATTAGGTCGCCGGTAGGCTCCACCCAAAGACACAGCTAGCATGAGATAGTAGTGGTGGAGGCGCGAGGTGTTGCAAATCCGCGCAGGACTGCCCCCTTCGGCGACCTAATGTCCTCTACCCGTGGACGGCTCCCCGCCATGGGTAGGGGAACGAACTCCGCCAGTTTGAACCACCTCCGCGAACTACTGGCCCTGCAACGACATGCAACAATATAGAAAAGGACCAGTTGCCGGCGAAGGTGGGCTCAAACTGGCGGAGTTCATTTCCCTACCCCCCCCCCCCCGCCATGGTTGGAGACACCCTCATGTTTATAGCACTGCGGCATGCCGCCTCTGACGGTGGGAGGGGACCGCAAGCTTGTCCGACGCGTGTAAGAATGGCTTGCGCGCACTGGTTTAGGGGCAGTTTTCTAGGCAGGGGCAGCATGTAGTGCGCTCGGACCTGCTCTGTTCTGTGTTTGGGATGCAAGCAACCTTTTATATCAAAATTTCGAGATGTTTGGTTTTGCCAAGCCACTGCCTTTGAGTGGAATAGCGCCCTTATTGAGCCTACTCAAATCATGAATAACGCGACACGTAGAAAACTTCACCTGACCTCAAGTCTGGCCCTGGGGATAATTAGTTTTTAAAACCACCTCCACTACTGGATCGTCTGGTATGGAAGAACTCCTTAAACTCCAAGCCGCAATATCCAAACAAGATTTTGTGGGCCATTGGGAGGTCACTTCTACGCCTCTTATGGGCAAGAGATGATAAACCTAATTCCTATTACTAGTCTTACTATCAGGTATGAGATCATACTCAAAACCCATAATATAAACAGTTTCCGAGTAAAACTTTTGAATCTTTTCCATATAATTTATAGTTTTAACCAAATGCGGGTGTCGAATATCACTGTTCCATACTCAACAAAGGTCTGAAACAGTTCTTGTATGCTCTCCAAAGGATCTTTACGCCCTTGGTTGAGAGGGCTCTGAAAAGGTTGTAGACCGCCCGCATGGCTTTATCTGCAGTAAGCCTGCAATGCTCATCAAATGTGAGATTATGTTTTGTCAGGAATCCCAGGTCCTTGATCCACTCCACTTCCTGCAGTGCTATCCAGGAACAGACGGAGTTTAGATTATAATGTGATGGTCAATGTGAATTGAGGTTAGTTTTCTTTCTGGAGATTGGCGAACCCAAATCTTGTGACCATTTACAAACCTCATCTAGCGCTTGTTGCAAACGCCTGCTATCACTATCTTCCATTACTGTCGTGTACAATTTGAAGTCGTCTGCAAAGGCACAGCAACTAACGCCTGATTCAGGAGAAATTCGTGAAAGCTCATAGGTGTAGATATTACACAGAATGGAAGATAGGACACCCCCTTGAGGTACTCTGCTACACATATGTCTAGGTCGAAAGAAGGTGTCATTGATACGAAATAAAGGACCTGTCATCAAGGAAAGCTTTGATCCAGGCAACAACACAAGGATGCAGCCCAACACGCGTCAACTTTTGGATTGATTTAGAGTGAGGTACTTATCAATGCTTTGGTGAAGTCCAAGTAAACTACATCAGTATTGAGACCTCTATCGAAATTGCGGGTCTATCCATTGAGTGGTTGCAGCATCGCAGTGGTAGTGGATCACCACGCTGAAATCCGTACTGGGTGTGGGAAAGGATCCCGTGATCATCCAGGTGTTTAACAATCT